ATGTTATCTGGATTTCTTTCTAGCTCTGGTGCTATAGACTGGGAAGCTCAGGCTGGGATTTAGTCCCCACACTTCTCAGGGGGAAACTTCTGATCACTGGTGTTGGGAACCGCCCTGACTGGTATCAGAGGCTGAAATCCCCGCCTAGCTAAGGCTAAGGGAACGCCCTTGGAACCGTGAGCCAGCAAGGAGACAAAAGCTTATCTTCCTGGCAGGAATGCTGCTTCTGCTGCTTTATTCATAACTGAACCCCCAAAAAGCTTGGTCGGTTAGCCAAAGACGGGTAAGATTCCCCACGGGGGAACGACCTAAGCCAGGCACAATCACTTTTGGGAGGCCCCCCAAAAGAAGGACTTGGGGGGCTGCAGCAAAAGGGGGTGATGGACCCTCGCTCCTCGGCTTTGACAAAGTCTGAGTTCTCAGCGTCTGGAAGAAAATCTCCTTATCTCTTGGTTGCCTTAGTTCCCTTGCTCCACCTAAGCCTGAAACAATGACAGGGTGGTACAGCTCGGTACTGAGAAGTGCGGATTTCCCGGGGTGATCAGGCCTAAGAAAGAACATGTAAATTACTGTGAAACCTCCTTTGTTTAGAATGCTCTCAGTTGAATGAGAAGGGTCTTAGGAGGAAGTTAGTTTGTTCCTCAGTCTTACAGCTCTTTGACCCCCAACTCAATAGACCGGCAGAGTTCTTTGTTTTCTATAGTTCCTTACTTCCCCTAATGAATACTGTACTTTACCTGAATTATTATGCAAAATGAGCCTAATAAAAGCAGGTACAGAAGGTAAATCAGCGGGCTCCCCACTAGGGGGGGTGGCCATTTCGTCCCTACTTCCCCACAGAAACTAGTTTGTCTCTGTGCATGTTTTTTCTCGCGTGTTTATCGTCGAGCCATCCACAGCATTCCGTGGTCACTGCTGGCCGGTGACCCACGCGCAACACACTGGTATTTACCTCTGTCCTTTCAGCTACCACCAGTGGGAGCCCAGCCAGCCTGCTCACATCTCCTCTACACTCCATACAGTCACACTGTGGTGAAACAGTGTCTTCTGTCTGTCCATGGTTATAAGACTTCTCTCTAGCTATCATTTCATGGTTATTCCAGATGATTTCTCCACATTTTAGTTGTCATTCCAGATTGGTCTTGGGAGGAGGTTTGTGTAGCCCCCACATACTCCTGCCATCTTTGACTGAAAAATTATTTTTTTATAGATTCTAGTAGCATCTATTTATTGGGTTGAAAACTGTTAAATTTTATGTCTAGTTACTGTACTCCATAGTAGTTATATTGAATCCATCCAAGTTGGTTTCATTCACATCAACCATAGTATAATATTCCATTCCATTATATATCACAATTTATTTATACAAAATACTATTGATTCACATTAGTGTTGATTTAGTTTAAGATCTTCAGAATATTATCACTAATAACATCAGATACATCTGTTTAGTACATTATATATATTATTTCTGTTTGCTACATAGTTGAGTGAAACTCTGAGTCATGAGATATGCAAATGCTTATCTTTGACAGAGAGTCAGTCTCTGTCAATTGGAAACCAATGTCAATTGGTTTCCAAGGTGCTTGTGCCAGTTTACATTTACATCAGCATTGTTTAGCATTTCTTTCTTTCTTTCTCTCTTTCTTTCTCTCTCTCTTTCTTTCTTTCTTTTTGCCATAATCTTGGTATGGCAATTATTTTTCCATTTTAATCATTATGATAGTTGTTTCATGATATTATATGATAGCTTTAATTTGCATTTTTCTGAGGACTAATGATGTTGAGTAACTTTTCATGTGTTTATTGGTGATTAAGATATCCTCTTTTGGTGAAATGCCTATTCAAGTCTATTACCAACATAGTATTGTATCAGTTGCCTTTCTTACTGATATACGCTTAATTAAATTTAAGCAAGTTAGAAACTGGATCTGGTTGAAGAGTTATGCTTGGCTAAGCCTGGTTTGAGATATTAGGTAATCAGGTATGAAGGACAAGAAGGCAAGTAGAATATATGAGTTTGGAGATGAGGATAGAAATAAGTTTGAGGATATACATTTAGGTGCTCATAGACTATTGATGGACTTAAATCCATTGAACTAAACAATATCAGCTAGAGTAAGGCTAACTCCTAGGGTACTCCAACTCTAAAAGTCTTGGAAAGGGACATGGCAGAAGGATGCTGCAAAGAATTGGCTAGTGAGTTACGAGAGAAACCAAAATTTTAACAGATTCAGGATTTCCAATGAAGAGAAGTGTATTTCAAACTGGAAGGGATGATCAACTCTATAAAATAGCACTAGACAAAAGGTAACATAAACACAATTTAGAAAGGTGAAAGTTGTTGGTGATATTGTAAAAATAAGTGGTTTCAGTAGAAACAAAAGCTTCATGGGAGCAGGTTGATGAGAGAATAACATGTGAGGCAATTGAAGAAGCTGTAAGGATACTTCCATGATAATTGCCATAGAGTAACCTGAAGAACTGGGAGAGATTTGGAGTCTACCATTAAAGATGAAAATTTTTTCATTAAAGATGGAAGATAGGATAGCATAAGTTTGGTTTGCACTTGATCCTGACTTAAGGAAATCATTGAGGATAGGAAAGGTGGAATAATTCTTAGAGATGAATCACTGTGTAAATTTAGGTGGATGAAATTGAGTATATAGTGCAGGAGTCAGTAGAGGGATAATTCAACATAATGCAACAATTACTCCACAGTTAGAGATGGTGAATGTCAGAGCTTCCTGTAAATTTTCTGTTATTGGGAATTACTGGCTAAAACCATACAACTAAGTTCTTGCAGCTCTAAGTCAGTAATGTGAATCAACAGGGACCACTTATCATGCACTGTGCAGTGCACTAATCACACTAAAACTTGAATAAAACTCTATGGATTGGCTGTATGCACTTGTGGAAACTGAAGCTTCAAAAAAAAATCCAATAACTTTCAAAGCACCACTTCACTACTGTGTTGAAAAGCTGTAAATCAGATTTCACATTTGAAACTTTTTTCTAAGGTGACTGTAAAATCTGACATCTGATGCTGAGTACTTTTGAGGGTGAAAGGCACAGAAGTAATGGTTTAACTGGGACTGTGTGTATAAATCAAGACTTTCTAGGGCAAACACAGCATATGATTATCATTTCCCTCTACTTTTTGATATCTTTTAATATTCAATTCAAAGCATTCCATTTAATTTCAATTCTTCCATGACTATTTTTAACCACAGTAATAAACTAAAATTAGCATTAAAGAGTCTAATTAGGTTTTAAAAATTAAAATGAAGACAGGAAAACTTTAATATGCATAAAGGATGAATTTATTGAAATGACTGGTTAGGAAATATTAATAATAAGCACAATTACAGAAATTATTTTTATACATATATTTGATAAGTTTGTGGGACTTCCAATTCAAAATCAATATTTTGTGGTACTTTTGAATTAAAATTTTGAAAATAGATGTTATGAGTAGAACTCTAATTAAAATAAATGTCATATAATATATAAAATAAAAAAATACATATTCAATTTTTCCATGTAGAATAATTTAAAATGGTTAACTTTGATAGCATGATACAAATATTAAAAAGATGCCATACTTCCAGTTGCAGTCAATTCTATAGAATAGAGAACAAATATAGAATTAGTTATGTTATATGATAAAACCATATATCTTTCTCCATTTGTAATTTTGGTGTGACTCATGCACTAGAGAAATTTTATTACAAATTCACCATATTCCCTTTCATGCAAATAAAAGTCCCCAAAGACCAAATAGCATATCAGTTGGAGTTGTTTTAGAGAAATATGTAGTCTACCATGATCACTAAAAATTTGTATCTAAAGAATCTCTCTCACTTTTTATCCTTACCATGGGACTAATTAATTTTATTATGATCCATGAATTAAAAAACAATTAAATTTTTTGGAACCTAACATTTGGAGCCAAAGATAGAAATTAGAATGCAAGTTGACTTTTAAAAAGAGCTCAAACATATTTGCAAAATAGAAAAACTGCCTTCAATTTTTTTCTAGAAAATGATGATAATCATTAAAATAAAAAATAAAATAAAATAAAAAAGAAAATGATAATAATCAAGGATTAGGACATAGACACTTGTAAACAAATCATTTAAATTTGTCAGTAACACATAACTGAAATTAAAAAAGATTTGAAATAAAAAAATATATCATTTAATGTGAGTACATAATAGCCAACTATTTACATGTCCCTGACATATTGATAATTAAGAAATAAGTTCATGTATTGGTGGACTCTCTCATTATTTTGTGTTTATTCAGGCTAATGAAATGCTGAAATATATTAAGTATAATATATAGTCTAATATTTAGTCTAATCTCCAAACTCCCAAAACTTACCAAAGTGAGAGACAAACATTAACTTTGAAATCATTTAAACCTTAAAAATAAATAAAATAAATAAAAAATAAATCAATATGTAATTCACTTTTTGCCAGGAACACTTCTAAAAATTCTATGAGCAATGAAATAAGAATCTAAATTGTTTACCCTCCTATTTACATATGTCAGAAACAAGTGTGAATTAATGCATTTGGAGACTAGTTGCACATAAGGAAAACTTAAAAACTGTAGAAAATAATAAAACTTTTTTTATTTCACACCCAGCTTACCAAATTTAATTCTGTTTTTAGTACATTTTAATTTTCTTTATCTATATTCTCAACTGATTGGTTACATCAGAATCTCTGAAATAATTTCTTTCCAATGCTCAGTATCTTCTACACAGAAAATCAGAACAATTGTATCTAAATCCTAGACATTAGAATTTTAGGGGGGAATGTTTCCTAAGTTATTCAACTGTGTAACTAGTGTTGAGAAACCCTTATCTAAGCTACTTGCATCTTGGATCCATTCATTATTGATTTATCCTTTTATTCTGGATTTCTCACTTCTAATATCATATACAATACACATCATGAATTAAACAGTAGAGATATAAAATTAGGACTTACTTGTTGTAAGTTGTAGATTGTAGCAATAGGTTCAGTCACAGGGTAAAACACCTGAGTAGGCTCAAGCAGAGGCTTTTGGTTGAGCGTATCTCTCTGCCAGTAAGGGATCACTTGCTGGGAAAGAGGCAGGGCTTTGGGCTGAGAAAGGGACAGGAGGGCCTGAGTAGGAAGCATGGGAGTCTGAATAAGAGGCTGGGGCACCTGGTGCATCAAGGGCTGGAGCAGAGGCAGAGAAAGCTGTGGGAGATTTTGGATTTGGCGTTGAAAAAATGGCACTACTGGAGATTTAAGAAATGGCATCATGTGGCGATTAGGAAAGATGGTTGCCTTAGAATTGGAACCTTGAATCACTTCAGGCTGAAGGACAGGCAGCACCATAGCAGGCTGAGCAAGAGGCAGGACATTTTGTGGAAGGACAGTGTAGGGGATGGGCTCAGCAAAAGGATAGACAAGAGCCTGTGGCTGGATAGGGGACTGGATTTTCTCCTGGTGTTTATCCTGGAGAGAAAGAGACAGAATCTTTGAGTCCATGATTCAGTTATCATTCCCATTCTTGATGATTTAAACTCCTCTCTTTTGAACCACCATAACTGACTAAAAGGAAAGTAAGAAAATCTTTTATTGAGACTGGCTAAGACATTATTTGGGGTTGCATTAACACTAATGAGTTAAATTCTCATTGAGGGATTTCTCATTAACCTTCTTTTACAGGTGAACACAGATCAAACTGAAATCAATGTTTGGGGATTTCAGACTTGTTTCTCCTTTTCCAAGTTGCCTTCAATAGCTGTGGCCAGCTGTACAGTTTGGTATTGAGAGGGCATGGGGTTTTCAACATAATGTGAGGATAATTGACCAAATTGTTTTCATAAAGAAAATTTATTTTAAAAATAATTAGAGAAATGACTTCAAGTTTGCTTTTATGTGTTTTAATGAAAAGTAAATCTTAATTTGTGGTTTAATTGAAGGATTTACTCTACACCAGCTAACTTCCAGCAATACTTCCCTTGGTAGATGGTAGTTATCATAAGTCTTTAAAAGAGACATCAATTTTTAAATTTATTTTGATTTAGAAAAATATTTGTTTTAAGTTCCAAACAAACCCACTGCTCTGTTAGAACAAGAGACTGAAATATTACAGTTAGATCAATATGTTATTACATGTGTCATTTAATGAAATAAATAATTTTATGTAGTCTAAGAAAATATTTTTCAGTGAGCTCTGCTAATAAATAACTGTGATAAAGTCACATTATTGTGTACTCAATTGTCTTACACTTTACTTCTCTCATCTGTGTAATGGAAATCCTTTTATTAACTGCATGTGTTAATATTGTTAATATAAAACATAAATGTTTAATGTAAATCATTGAATATGTATTGTGTCATAGCATCAACCATAGTGGCTTATGAGTATTTTCAGTTTACACACGAAGAATTTGAAGTACAGAGAAACTTGGGGCCAAAGTTACAGAGCTAATCAATAATCAAATTAAAATTTGTGCCATATTGCCTTCTTATTTTTTTCATCAGCTTTTCTATCTGGAGAATAAGGGGAACCTAGTTCCCAATGTGGAAATATATCTACTAGTGTGCATTTATGCCACTAGAAAACTGAGCAAATCAATAATTAGTATTTATTCTATATTTTGCAAGTCAATTATACATTTTAAAATGCATCCATGTCCTAAAAATACATTGACTTAAAGTTTCATTTCTTGTATTTGCATGTGTTTTCTTACCATACTTTGGAGTGAACGTGCACATATGAGTATTTCATATGTTATATATTTGATAAAAAATTTAGATATATTCTTCTCATGTTCAAATTACCTCTTTTTCCTGCTGTTTGTCATGTTCAAACTTCTTAGGTTTTTGCTAAAAAAACAAATCATATAAAATTGTTATCATTTATAAAAATTAAATGGAGGAAATTTTGAAAATATTTACATTTAAACATGAGGGTTTTACCTCGTTGACCTGTGCAATGAAATCCTTCAGAAAAATAAAAATAAAATTAGGTTAAGTTTTTATGAACAATTTTTATTTGACAATATAAATCAGAAAATGAAGGCATGACTTATCATTAACTTAATGATAAGTTAAGGTGGACACTATGCTTGGTAACATCAAAAACACAGGATAATACTGAAACTTGTATGTTTCACTGCTTTGTATAAGCCTGCTGTAGCAGAGATGGACAGATACAATCAAGAACAGAAAATTAATGAACATAGTACAATAAGAAGAATTTAATGAGTGCTAATTTTCTATATCACTATATACCCTTCATATTACAACAAATAATGTATAATACCTCATCTGATTCTAAAAGAATTCTATATTAATAATAAATTATAATAACCATAGATATATTCTCTTCATCATTCTTAATGTCTTTATGTTTAGGCTTCAAATGAACTATAAGAAATAATTACTTTCCCTAAGGATCTGAAAACCTTTGTGAAGAGGTAAAGTATACACATGATGGACTTAACAGGTAATGACAGACCCTTAAAAGTGATTCAAGTATAAATATCTACTTGACTCTCACAGGCAGATTTACAACTAAGTCTCACTGCTTATTCAGTAAAGTAAGTACTGTAATTACAAAAGTATGTCCATTTGCAAGTCTGCCCACCTCCCATATTACTATTCTTTCTTATGGGCAACCTCTTTTCAGTTTATAGCATAGCTCTTAGTCAATGTCTGATTCACAGAAGGCGACCAATAAATGTCAAAATGGTGAATTTTGTCACCATGGAGAGAGCTCAAGGCAGATAAAAAGACTGCACATTTCATGTAAAGAAGGTGTTGGGGCACAGTGACACAATTTTAAGTAGAAAGCTAGTTTAGGAAGTGCTTGAACAGTGAAAGCTGTATTCATTCTGCCCTTAAAGATACATACTGGAAATTTACATCAGAATTGATATGTCATAACTAGGTGCATTGGATAAAGCCCAACAATAACCCTGTAGAAAGAGAATACAGTGTTTTACTGTTCCAAACATGGAAAATTGCCTCAGAATGAACACTATCTTACCTCACTGCTTGAAAGTCTTTGTACAGTCTGTAAAGGAAAAAAATCAGAACTGGATTATTGGAGAATGTTATTATTATATGGTTGAAAAATTTTTCCTGAATAAAAAAATCTTACCTCAGTGGTTATGCTGAGTTCTTCCTTCTGTAAGTAAAAGACTCCATTTAGTTTCCTTAGCTAACTCATCTTTCCTATTTACTTTTTATTTTCTTCATGAAGTGATATTCCCTTCACAAATTTAAGAAATATAAAATGTAGTGCACCTTTTGAAGCCTTGAAAGGTAATTGCTTTTATGTCTTTTACATTTGGTAACTCTAATGGTATATTTTTATTTTACCTTAAGAAAGAACATATTTGATGGGTAACAGAGAGGGAGGTATTTTAATATGTATCAAACACTTTTTACTATGATTACACATATGTTTATAGTTTTAATTATTGCTTGATACTTCATCCTCTGGATATCTTTGGATAGACACAGTTGGATTTGGCCTAATGCCCCAGGGTAAGAGGTGCATGAATTTCATCACTGGATATGGTATATTTATATAGGTTGTACATGCATGCCATTATACTTGTGCAGTATCATTCTTTTTAATGTTTATTGCTTTTCTTGTCCCATGCCCATTTGCTTATTTGGTTTTTCTTTGGGGACTGGTAGCATTTTACCCAGATTTCTGGCCCCATTAGACAGTATTGAAATAGTGAATATATGTGATTATCTTAAAAGTATAAAAAAAAATCTGCTAAAAGTCTGCATTATTTGTACATTTAAAATATTGGTGATGTGGTTCTCTTCCTGTGGGAAGACATTTCATGTTCATTTAGCTATTTAGAGATGTTCTTACCTCCATTGCAAGGGCAAGGGCCACCAGGCAGGCAAGGATGAGGACCCTCATGGTGCTCAAGGCCTGTGAGAGGGAAAAAAGCACTATGGCTGTCAATGTGATATATTCCCTTAATTACATAGGCTTATCTCTCTTTGAAAAAAACAAAGTGACTATACTTTAGAAAAATTACTAATAGAAGTTGTATTATATAACCAAAGTCAAAAACTTCTATGGCTCCTTAGGCTTCCTTATCAACTTTTATACTTCAATGAAAGCCATTCAGAGTTTTCAGATCTCAGCTCTACCCCACCTCACTCTTCTTTTATCTCATTTACACTACATTGTGTATTTTTGAAAGACAGAAAAAAATTGTAAATAAAGCTTTATTAATTGATTTACTTATTCAAAATTTATAATATTTACTAGTCATATTGTCTAGCCTCTGGGTTTAAAGCAGTGAACAAAATATTAAGGTTTCAGCTCTGATGAATCCTCATATCCAATGGGAATAGACTAATTAAAAAATGTACACATAGAAGATCATAGTTTATTGTACCTTTTCTTTATTAAATAAAAGAATTTTATTTTATTTGGCTTAATCATATGTCTTTATTTCTAATAAGACTGGGGTTTTATTTGAGCATTTCACTTGCTCCATTTATCCAGATGTTTTTTGTAGGACTGTTCCATTTGTTTGTTCTCTACCTGTAGCCACTCCACAGTCTTCATCCCTGCACACCTAATGACGTATCTTTTCCTTTGTGCCATATAGCTTTAGACATCATACACCACACTTCTGTTTTCTCTGATTTCTTAATAATTTACCAAAGGATCAGGTTCTCTTTCTTAGTCCCCATAGCAGACTACTTATTATTGTAGCATAATATAAAATATATGTTAACACTTTTGACCAAAAGGTACTAAATACTTCATTTTGTTCCATCTCTATAATTCTAATAAAAAATAGATTTGTGCCACCAATATACTTCAACATACAATCTTTATCCCCAGACATGTAAACTAAATTTCTGCTACAAGGGACAAGTCAAGAAACATATATTGAAGACACATAGGCACAGAGCAGAGTGGGGATTGATTGTTGGAGTGGGGGGTGTGGAGGTGGAGGTGGGTAGGGCAAGGGAGAGTAACGGGAAATATGTGGGAAAATTGCAACTGAATGATAAACAAAAGAAATAAAGATCCTTGAACTTTTTATTAAAAGTCCCTAATTCATGTGCAAAATATACTTTGCAATATTTAAGGCTGAAATATTTCTCTTTATTAGGCGAATGTGTTTTCTAGATTTTTCTCATGGGTGTTATGTAATTCCCACTAATTTTATTTTGCTTAAGACTTCTATAAGTTTCCAATTAATTTTTCATTGTCAGTTCTCAAATATATGTTATTATATTAAGATTGTTATGACTAGGGAAGATCTCATTGTGTTTTCTATATTTTATAGGTAACATTTTATACACCAATTTTAAGCCAAACTTTAATATTAATACATAGTCTAATGTATTTTTTCTTTAAAATCTTTTTTGTTTTCCTTTTCAAGTTACTTCTACCTCTTCTACAATTTTTCTTACAAAATAAAATTTAATTTTTTTAACTGAATTCTGTTTTTTGTGTCTATTTTAATATAATTTTTACAATCTTATAAACTGAACAATAAGTGGAATTGTAAACAACTTCAATGAACACACTCTTGTAAAAGAAATTATTTATAAGCATTTCAAGTACTGCATGCTCCCAAAAAACCTCTCATGATATCCTTATTCAATATGCTACCTTTATAACTACCTATTGAATAAAGCTTTCCCAATAAGTTTTTATAATATGTTAAATATATTTGATGTTATGATTATGATAAGTTTAATCAGTCTGGATGATATGTAACTCATGAATTAGATCTTTTAATGTAGCCTGTTAACTTCCCTGTACTAAAAAATATTAACCACTATTACTACATTTTCTTTGACTCATAAACTTTATTTGGCATTTTCATTTTTACCACATTTTCATACACATTTCTTCTTTTTTTAACCTAATAGTACTATCAGAGAACACTATTGAGAATAATGTCATTATTATTTTATATACCTTTCTTTCAAAGACTATATTTTACAAATATTTTCTTCATATATCACAAACTAGTTGAAATAAATCTAAGGAGAAGAAGGTACATCAAATTTATACATGAAATTCTTACCTTTTTCCAAGGTGGAGGACAGGAGGTGAAGGAGGAGCTAAGTGACTGATGGCGCATCTGCTTTTGTGGCTGTTTATATACTGTGTTTGATGGCATGTTAATTATGTGGTTTGAAATAAAGTCAATAGTAGGTTTCAATTCCAAGAAGTCTACATTAGTAGAAAATGATTTCTGCCTAATATCTTTCCCCAGAAATGCTGGGGAACATTTTAACAAGGAAGCAATTCACATCTGACAAAGGAAATCTGTCCAGGAAATGCAATTGTCTAATAACTAAAGACAATCTTTGGAGGATAGTAACCCTCTGGCTCAGTCCCCAAGTCATCTAAGACAATTAGGTCTCTAGCACTTGGTGGGTCCTCAAGATCTCACGTGGGGGGATGCTATATGAGCACTGAACATGCGCAGGGGTTTACAAAGGTCACAACTGCACACTAACCTGAGCAGCTGTTAGTGTTTTATGCCACCATGGAGAAAAATGACAGATAACAAGTCCATGATGGTAGCTTAGTCATGTAAGTCAAATTGCAAAGCTTCCAGGGCCACTTGATTTGAGTACAATAAATCCTTAACTTAAATTCATTATCTTGTATACAGAGGAATAATGTTTTCTGTAATAGAGCATCTCAAAAACGGGATCTGGATGCCTCAAGGCAAAATCCTTGGTAATTCTGTTGTGAAAATTTTGTAAAATATCATGGAGACTTATTTACCTGATAAATATAAACTACCTTTTTTTCAAGCACTATAATGTAATTATTCTATTGTTTTACTGAGTACTAACTTTATGCCAGAAATCATGTCCTTTACAGGCTTATTGTGTATGATTGTAACAAAAACACCACAAGAGCTTTCCTCTCCATATTTTTGATGAAGAAACTCAGACACCAATACATTAAATAACTTACAAAATCTATATTATTTGTTAATTTCAAAAAATTCCATTTAAAACCAGATCTTTCTGAGTACATGTATTTGTAGTTGATTATATGAAATGCCCTTGTATTAATCCTCTGAAACATTGTTATAAAATTTAACTATCAATGTAGCATTTGGGCTTAAATGTGCATCATTTGTTATGCCTGATTGAAGGAATGGGCACTTTTGCTGAGTGTGAGCAGGGTTGCTAGTCTTCAAGGAGCTCTTATTCTAGTTGAAACTAAAAATGGAACTGGCTTTGACCCAGCAATTCTACTTCTAGGATTATACCCTAAAATTATAAAACACCAATTCAAAAGACTTATGTACCCCAATGTCTACAGCAGCACAATTTATAATAGCCAAGTGCTGGAAGTGACCTAAATTCCATCAGTAAATGAGTGGATCAGAAAACTATGGTACAAACACACAATGGAATACTAAGCAGAGGAAAGAAAGAAGGAACTCCTGCCCTTCAGAGACACCATTGGGTGGAACTGGAGAGCATTATACTAAGTGAAATAAGTCAGGCAGTGAAAGAAAAATACCATAGGATCTCACCTATAAGTGGAACCTAATCAGCAAAACAAACAAGCAAGCAATTTATAACCAGTGGCATTGAAATAAAGAACAAACTGACAGTAACCAGAAGGGAGAGGGGAGAGGGGTAATGGGGGAAAAAAGAGGAACCATCATCAAGGAACATGTATAAATAACCCATGGACAAAGCCAAAGGGGGATAGGATCAAGGGTCAAGGTGGAAGTGCTTGGGTTGGGGGAGAATAGTGGGGGAAAATGGTAAAAAGAAACAAAAGAATTATGAATGTTTTGAGACATAATTAAATGTGGATAAAGTATTTGGTTGAAAGAAACATGGGTGCTTATACAGCAATACACCACATTTGATAGATTCTGTATTTTAGGAAACATAAAGGATACAGAATATATTACTATTACAGGTGTTTTTTGGAGTCCTATCATGGATGACTTGAATTTCAGAATGCATTGTGAATAATTCACTGAAAATAATACTTTTAGAGATGTGAAAGAAAATGGATTTAAAAAATTTTGGATTATATGTTTTTATGAAAATATCTCAGGCAACCAATTAAGAGAGATTGTTATGATATGTTACTATAGTAGTCTAGAATAAGCATCATGATGACTTCAACTATGGAAATGGTATTGAACATCTTAGACAAGGGAAAGAAAACTTATTATTAATATAAGAGAAATGAGAGACATCTAGGAATTGATTGAATAGAATATGCCAGGATAATTGAAAGTTTACCCACGTCATAAGCCAAGTTGAAAACCAAGCTGAAATCAGAAAAGAAATAACTTAGTTAAGTCTTATATGTGGTAAGTTTGAAGGTGTCTAAGACATGTTGTTGTTAAATATAATGCTCAATGGCATCATATGTACAACTGTAGGGATGATTTTTTTCTGGTAAAGAAGTAAATGAACTTCTCCAGGAAAGAAGTGGCAGGTGAAAAGAGAAATTGTCTAAGAAAAAGCTCAAGTCTACCCTGTTATTCAGAGTCTGGTATAGCAGAAGGAAATAGGAAATAATATAGAATATCATGGAGCAGAAAGTAGAGAGTCATTGGAAGAGCCACGGGAAGAAATAGCTGGAAAATAATCAATGAAGGCAAGGGTGAAAACGCTGCACAGGTGTGGAATAAGGTGGAAACAGAAGAGATTTTTGGGCATATGGAGTCATTACCATTGTAACCATTGAGATACACTCTAAGTGGTTAAAAGTATTTCTGAGGAATTAAAAGCAACACTGCTCTTCAGAGATTTTAGAAGTAGAACTAAGGGCACCTATGGAATGTTATCTTTGACTATAGGAACAACCAGAACCACATGAAAGTAATTTTAGGACAGAGATTCTTAGCTTAACAGAAAGAGGCCAATGGTGAGAAATGGCTGAAA